AGCACGCACCATGAGCCGCGCGCACGCATTTGCGAGACAGCGGAATCGCGCGCTCGCATCACACGGCGGCGGCACCGTGGCCGCGCGCACGCATTTGCGAGACAGCGGAATCGCGCGCTCGCATCACACGGCGGCGGCACCGTGAGCCGCGTGCACGCACCCAACAGCAGCAGCAGAGCGGGGCCCACATGACAGCTCATAGGGGTGGGCCCACCCTTATCCGGACACGTCAAGCCAGCTCGCCGCCAGCCTACCTTATCCTTATCTTATCCCTTATCCCTTATCTTTATCTAATCTTTTATCTTTATCTTAAGTAAGAGTGAGTTACCATTAGGAGTAGGTAATTAGGAGTTTGAGTTCAAATTGGAGTTTGAGTTTAATTAGGAATTCCCTTCTGCAATCTCCTATTTAAGGAGCTACGAATTGAAATAAAGGCATTCAGTTTTTCAGCCAAGAAAATAGTGAGGAGAGTTCGAGTGGTCTCTTGGACAAATCACCCATTCAGTTTCCGCAATAGGGTCTGCACGCAAGGGAAGACGCAAGGGGAAGCAGGGCTTTCGCACCGTGAACCGGCCCGTGACGGGATCCTACGCGCAGACCATAACATATCACTATCACAAGGTGGTACAAAACTATTTGCTCCCACTTTGGTAAGCCGAAAGCACAAGTCTGTCTCACTAAGTTTGCTCTCCTCATATACTTCATTTGGCAGGCATGCAATAAACTGATGTTTGAAAACCTTACGCCATAACCAGGATCCGTGGTGCACTCAGCCCTCCAATTCTCTACCAAAAAATGAACAATCGGTTGCAAGCCCAACAACACGTACCCATCACCCTTCACCACGCCACCCCTACCTTGCATATTGATGGCTCATTTGTTTCAAATACAGGCCATGCAGGACAACCGCTATCAACCTTCATGCTGGGCTCTCAACAGTTATGACCAACGCTTCTAGCGGGACTACAAGTTGCGATCGCACAAGGCATCAATCATCTTTTGGTTTTCTTGGACAGCTCTCTATCCTAGCTAGTGGACCTTGTAAATACTGACTGACCAGCTACCCAATGGGTTGAGCAGCTACATCGCAACAATATCAAAAGGCTCATCTTTGCTTCTTTTGACTTGATACAGTTTGTACATATTAGTAGACAGCACAATAGCGCAGCCCATCCTTTTGCTTATCTAGCATGTAAAGGGCAATTGAATATATACTACAACTCCACTACTACTGCACATGTAGCCTTCTCTTTTGATGAATGAAGCAATGCTCCTCTTCTTTTCTTAAAAAAATTCCTCTTTTGGGTAGTAAAGAGAAGAAGATACCATTCCAATTCATTTAAGTACAAAACTCAGAGGGGTTTAGATTCCTCAAAGCTCTTCTCATATCATGCCTTCTTGTATTACCCATTATTTCTTTACCCACCAACCACCGAAATGAGTTGGAATGATATCATTTTTTTTGGTAGAAGCAAAATTAAGGGGTGAATAGGGATTCATAGGTGAAAACTTCACCAAAGAGATGGGCAAGTCCATTAAAATTCCTCAACTAGTATTCAAAATGGATGGGCTTGAAAACTTCACCAAAGAGATCAACCATTATCGTTGACAATGGTGCTAAGGGGCTCAAAAGGATTCCTTAGGACCTTTAAGAGATCACTCACCACCTTTACATCCAAAAATACCATTAAGGCCCCGTTAGCTTTTTAGTAAGTTACTTACTCGAGTAAGTGCACTTACCTGGGTAAGTTTTTTCCTTGAAAACACTTGCCCGGGTAAGTTCAGTTACTTATGTTCTTTTATTTCTCATGTAAATAAGGAAATGACCATTTTATCCATAAAAATCCATTATTAAAAGGAGCATTTTTGTCCCATTCAAGTGTTGGCAACTTTCCCCCAAGGTGGGAAAGCTATTTACCCACCTAGGAGATGGGTATCACTTGCCCGGATAAGTGATACCCACGGAAATAAACTTTCCCTAGTCCCCACATAAATCTGAAAAAGAACATAAGATTCTTGATCAATGCGAACCAAAATCCCATTGACCAACTTCCCCCCTCTTAAAATCCAAAAAAGAACACTCCCCAAGTCTCTATTTCCAAAAGGGAGGCTTCCAAAAGGGTCGATTCCACATCCCATAGTTCTCCTTCATGGAGCAAACCACAAAAACATTGCCTATTGCCTTTAGCTCCTTCAATTTCAATGTTATTTAAAAATAGTTAAAAATTCAAAAATAATGTATRTATGGGTTTATTTGGTTTGGTTAAGTCCAATTACGAATGTCACATTGCTCTTGGAAAGTGCAACTTGGGTGGGTTGGGGCAGGATGAAGATCAACCCAAACCTAACCCAAAGTCTTCAACCTCAAGTTCAAGCTTAGGTTAATTTAATTATGACTAAAAAAGTTAATATATAGATTAATTTAATTATGACTATAGCCTAATTTTATATATGTACTAATATTTATGTAATATTTACAAAAATTGTAACATTTAATCACTCATAAAGTAATATAAATAAAATAGAACACTAACAGATAATATGGAAAAATACTTATTTTATTAAGTAATTAGCACTACTTTATTAATTTTATTAAAAATTACAAATATAATTAATCTAAATTCTTAAATTGCTAAATTATTTTGTAACAAGTTATTAAAATAAAGATTAATTATTTTAAGCAACACCGTATTCCTTCCTTAGTTATAAGTTTGGCTAATTTCACTTTCCCTTCATAAATCCCGTGCATCACATGTGTCCCGTTAGTTATCCAAAAAAAAAAAATTAATGTAAATTGCTAAAACCTCCCTTGAACTTTTTGACATAATTGCAAGTAGACCCCCTATGGTGAAATCTTCTAAAAATAGTTATAAAAATGTCCAAAATACTTATGCAATTACTTTTAACAAAAATGTTTATTTTTCAAATTTTCTCTCACTACCCGACTACCCGAAACCCTTTAAATCTTTTTTTTTCTAAAATTGATTTATTTTTTAAATTTTCCTTTCATATTAATCACTCAAAGGTAAAACTGCAACTTTAAATTCTCTTTATTTTTATTATTCGTAAAATTTAGTAAAAATCAGCCTCAATAAGAACTGCATGAATATTTTGAATATTTTCATATTTTTTAGAAGATTCTAGTATACTTGCAACTGTACGAGAAAGTTCAGTGAGCTCAATGCAATAATTAAACTTATGGGGAGGTTTCAGCAATCTACCCAAAAATTAAAATGCTTGATCGCTTCCATGAAAAGTTTTTGTTAATGGTTGATTTGCCGAGGAAGAGGAAAAGGGAGTCCCTTTATATTTAGATAATGTGTCAATTTATAAGTGAGTCCACGACCCGTTCTAGTGGCCAGGTGTCATGAAATAAAAACCCTAACAACAACAACGATACTGTTACACCCTCTTTCTCGCTCTACCCTTTACGCGTCCACACACCACCCATCATCTTCACACTCCCCACGCCGTAGTCCACACTAGTCCGTAGTGCAAATGGAAGCTGCGCCTCTCCTTCAGCCCGCCATGTACGACTCAGGCGACTTGCTCCAAGTCCGCTGCCAAAGTCTGTCTACTCCAACGATTCCCTCCACTACTACCGTCTCTACCATCCGAACCATCGTTATCTCATAAATTTCTCCACCTTTCATCCTTTCTGTCAATTTCCTTCTCAAAACCTTAGCAGGTAGTTTCAATTTTCATAGCCTTAGCCTACTGTTTCAGTATTTCTGCTTCTGCATAGAGATTTTTATTTGATTATGTTTTTTTATCATTATTACGTTTTTGATTACCTGTTTGTTTGCCGATAGGTAGATACAGTGTTTGGACTTTGGAGCATTATCGGGAATAAGATCTCTGAATCTATCTCACCAAAATGTCTTCGTTAAAGAGTTACGGCGCGTCCTTGAGAGATGCCACCTTTCAGCTTCCGCGTCTCACCGGTGCCAATAACAATAAAAGGTCTCTAGTTAGTACTCCCCTCCATTGTTGTAAATTTCCCTTTTCTTTTAATTTTCAGAATACATGATCATTTGTTTCTAGCTGTTGGTTCAAAGCCTTTTTTTTTTTAATTTCTTTTCTAATTTTATGACATTTTTTTTTTTATTTTGAATTCTCGCATCTGGATTTTTTTTTCTTCTGAAAACCTGTAGAATGCATGTTTGGATTGTTGGAGTTTTTGCTGAGATTAGGTTAGCCTTGAAGAAAACCTTGTTGTTAGACTTTCTTTTTGGATGTTTCTTGTTGCTACTACATAAGCAGAGGGAGAAAATAGCAGAGCTCATTTACCATTGCAGATGAAGTTAAAAGAAAAATAGCTTCATCTTAGCGTCTCCTCAGAGTTGAATGAAAGAGGGTCTTGCTTTCTGCAACATTTCTTCCTTTTGTCTTCTTTTAATCTGGAAAAATGGCTTGCAATGCCGTTGCTTTTCTTGACTCGCTCAACCGGTGATGCAAGTGTTGAATTGTGTAACTTCTAAGTGCCGCCCCGTTCATGGATCAAACAGCTAAGTTTGCCGTTCAAGTCCTTGCTGATTATTTGTAAAGTTACTTTTTGAGAGGATTTCTGTGACCAGTAAATTGGAATGGGTCAAAAAAGTCTTTACAGGCCGCAAGTATATAGGAATTTTTGATATTGAGCATCTTTGCGCGTTATGTCAATCATGATATCCTGGTTAAATTCAGCCTTTCACTCATAAAAATCAAATACGAAAAGAAGGAACTTTTCTCATGCCTGGTGTGGGTAATTAGGTCTGACTTTCTATGTTCATGTAAGAAATCTGCAGAAGACTCTTCTGGAAAATATTAGATGGAGTATTCCCATTTTTAATGATTTTGACTTTGCAATGAGAGATCCTCATGCTTACACTCATTCATAATTATCATTTCTGTTCATGTTTGTTTAGGATTGCTCTCCCATTGATATCCAGAAATAATTTTTTTTCCTCTTGTTCTTTCCATTTTTTGGTCAGTTCACCCTTTAGGATGAGCAAAAAATATACATGCTCTGGCTGCAGGGAGTGGGAACCCCCAATTTATTAAACATTACCACTTACTGTACATTCATGCTGTTGTAGCTTCCTATTAGGAAACCTTTGGATCATATGCTTCCATTATCTTTAGATTACATATTTTGTCCTTCTCATTGATTTGGGAAAAAGAAATTGTATTAAGCAAATTATTTTTTTTCTATGGGGACATAGTTACTGACAACAAAAACAGGGGACTTGGTTACTAAGAGGCTCTGCTAAGTTGTCTGGTGGAGGGCATAAAATGCAGGTTAATTACATCCATATCAGTGGAACAAATAGGGGAGTTGTCATGGAGGTTATCTGATGCTATTGTCTTAAGCCGTGCTATAAGGAACATCATGCATTGTCTTTGGTTTTGTAGTGAAAGGAAAATTTTCATTGGATAACTGAAGCTGAAAATCTTGGTAGTTGAAAGCAGTCCCTCATTTAAATGGTGTCAATGGGAGTAAAGGTGTACCCTAATCTCATTTAATTTGCAGCTGTTCTAAACCTGTGCTGATTCTACTTGTCATGACAACCCCATTACCAAATTGTATGATATTTTATGCTCATGTCATATGCTTTTTCTACTAAACAGGAGAAATGGAAGATGGAGATCTCCAGAAGCAGCTATCATCCCTAATTTCCACCTTCCAATGCGCAGTCTAGAGGTTAAAAATAGGTAGGTATTACAGATACTTATGAATTGGACTTTTCGTTTACTGTAGTTGTTCTGATTGTACATCTTTTGTTGGGGAACTGTTCTTTCGTTGTAGTTTTGGTGTTCTGCTAGGATACAGCATGTGAAGATGAAACGTAGCCTTGACCTTATTCTATATTAGCAAAGAACTGATAGAACAAGATTTCTTTATCTCTCACCTCTTTTCTCCTGGATTTTGTTATAGAAACATTTCTGTGTCCAATTGAACACTAAAAATAATTGAATGTGGTGCTATCATTACATCTTACACAAACGTTTTTATGTCGTCTTTTCTTGTAGTATTTGAATGTGACCTCATCTTCTGTTTTGAGGTGTCCATATAACATGGGATTTATATCACATACAAAGTGTGTTGTTGAAAAAGTGAAACTTAGATATTAAAGTTTACCTTCAGAGGCTGATAAAAGAAAGTATTTCTGCACAGTATCAGACTCTTTTTTTGGGGCCCACTGAGTGCAACACCTTGTACACATCTGATTTTCTGGCACTTAACAATATCCATGTACAATTGGCTACAATAAGATATAGGGCTGTTGTTATTTGGGGGAACAAAGGTGTGGCCGATGGAGAGGGTCCCCTATCTGATTGGCCACAAGATTACTCCACATGGCATAAGCAGGGGCTATCTATTGAGGTTCCTTACTCTTGACCAATTAAGAATATATATATATATATATATTTGCAATCTGTTTTGATGCCTTTATAAATTAATTCTTTGCAACAACACCTTATCTAGGAGTGCCTACAGCTCTTGCATAGATTACCTTTTGTTTTGAGTTGCTGACAATGCTGATTATTAATGATTTACTAGTATGCGTTCAAACTGAGTACAAATGCAAATATGTACAGTGCAAATACATAATAGGCTCAGTTTGGAAAGAGTACAAATGCAAATATATACAGTGAAAATACATACAAAATAATACAAAATATAAGGTTTTGCACTCAACATATTTATATTTATATTCCTTCCAAACTGAGCCTCATAGTCTGAATGTGGATCCTATAGGCATGAAATGCATGCCAGATAGTTGTGCCCGGAAAGCATGGTTTGTGTTTTTGCTGGCATCAAGAACCATTACCGCTTAACTAGGTTACAGGGGTTGCGATGTTCTCTTTTAATGTACCGGGTCTTTCTAGCAATGGCCAGTTGAATGATGTTAACAAGGTAATGACCCATAGTCATCAAAAAAAAAAAAGTTAATGACCCATGGTTTTAATTTATCACCATGAATTATGAAAACTTAACATGGTTCCCTTAAATTGGGAATCATAATTTGACTACTACTTTTTGGGGTTATGGTAATATATCAAGCTTAATGATCTTATTCAATAAAAAACATAGGATAATATGCTGGATATGGGTATTTCTGAATTATGCCTATTTAGAACAGTCAGTGCCGCATGTGACTGCACAATGTTTTCTTCTCCTTGCTACTTGGTGTTTCTGACTATGGATTTTGATAGTGCAGGACATCAGCTGAGGAGATAAAGTCACTTAGATTAATCACTGCCGTTAAAACCCCATATCTGCCTGATGGCAGATTTGACCTAGAAGCTTATGATGCGCTGATGAACATGCAGATCATGAATGGTGTGGAAGGTGTGATAGTCGGTGGGACGACAGGTGAAGGCCACCTGATGAGTTGGGATGAACACATAATGCTCATTGGGCACACCGTCAACTGTTTTGGTGGATCCATCAAGGTGATTGGTAACACTGGAAGCAACTCAACAAGAGAAGCAATTCATGCCACTGAACAAGGGTTTGCAGTTGGGATGCATGCAGCCCTTCACATCAATCCTTACTATGGCAAGACGTCCTTGGAGGGTTTGGTTTCTCATTTTGAGGCTGTTCTTTCCATGGGCCCTACTATTGTATACAATGTGCCATCTAGGACAGGCCAAGATATTCCTCCCTCGGTCATCCACACAGTTTCACAAAGTGCTAACATGGCAGGTGTTAAGGAATGTGTGGGCAACGATAGGATCAAAGAGTACACAGATGAAGGGGTTGTGGTATGGAGTGGGAATGATGATCAGTGTCACGATGCAAGGTGGGGTTATGGGGCCACAGGAGTGATATCTGTTACTAGCAACTTGGTCCCCGGGCTGATGCGCGAGCTCATGTTCGGAGGGAAGAACACTTGTCTGAATAAAAAGCTAATGCCACTGATTGAGTGGCTATTTCGTGAGCCAAACCCCATTGGCCTGAACACAGCTCTGGCACAGCTTGGGGTGGTAAGGCCAATATTTCGTTTGCCTTATGTTCCTCTATCTCTGGCTAAGAGGGTGGAATTTGTGGAAATAGTGAAGCAACTTGGGCGGGAAAATTTTGTGGGAGAAAGAGATGTGCAGGTTCTGGATGATGACGAGTTTATCTTGGTGGGCAGGTATTAGTCGGTGGTTCAAATCTGTTATTATTTGTTGGAGCTGGCTCTGTTTTCTGTCGCTGTACAAATTTGGATGGAATATCACCAGAAATGATCATCTTTACTTGAGTACTTCTCTAGTTCTCTACTACCTGTAGCTGTCATCATCAGCACTAGAAGCACTAGAAACTGATTTTGCTATTTGTTAATTGGACCTCTTTTGTCTATTTTGCAAGGGCTAGTAGTTAGAGAAGAATGGTGGTGCATGGATTTAGTCAATGTCTTATTACCTTCTCGTCCGTCGTCTAGCTCCAAGCCTCCAAGTGAGTGATTACTGATTTGTGATCGAGAGGTCATTTGCATTTCTTTAATCACCTTATCCTTATCAATAGCTGTAGCCAGGATGCGGACCCTTGCAAAGCATTTGGTTATTAGCCTTTCTTGCAGCTGGTGTTCATCTGACCGCTCTGGAGTCTATTTCGAGCAGGAATGTATGATTTTGTAGGCCCATTGCCTTCATCGGACGGTTCTAATTGTTTAAATCTTGTCTGATAACCTGCGTGGATTATCTTAATCTAACTGATTTATTTCTCTTTATCAACATGGTTTAGGAAACAATACAAACAAGATGAAGTATGTGCAAATGCCAAATGGTGCACATCAGCGAGAAAACTTTAGTTGTACTCGTCCCACAGCCTGGGCTGTCAACAGGGCTCTCCATGCGTGGCATCTTGAAATCAACGTTTTGAAAAACGAGGAAACGGAATGATTTTGGCCACTGGATTCTGGGTTTGACAAATAAATTAAAAAAAAAAATAGAAAGTTCGTGGGTCGATAGTTTGATTGCTTGGGTCAATGGATTGTTGATTTTTTTAACAGTTTTTTATCAAAGATCATGTTTGGGGTAAAACAGAATTAGTTGTTTAGATGATTCCTGGGACGGTTTTTGGGCTGAATGGTCTGATTATTTGAGTAACGGTGGTTCGAAAATTTTGCCTGAAATTGCTTGAGAAAACATTTCCTGTAAGAGAGCCGTTTTAACAGCCCAGCTGTTGGATTTACATAGCCAAAATTTCCTATAAGCATCACTTCATCCTAAATTTCTAATAAAAGTGCCTGTTGTACCAACACCTTAATTGTTGTAAAAAAAATTAAAAAGAAACTAAGATGTCTCTAATTGAGCTGGAATGTTCATCATTTGTCTATGCAAGGTTCTTCAAAGTATTGAGGGTCCGTTCAGTCCGCAGTCTGTTGGAGTTAGTTAGCCAGCTGGTACAATTAGGCCATATTTGGGAGTGTTCAAGTTAAAAATAAGTGTTTATTCAAATAAGTATTTAGATTTGGCATCTAACTTTTTCAAATGCTTATTTTTTAAAATAAGAAAAATGCTTTTACAAAAGTGCTTTTGTAAAAGTACTTTCGTAAATGTGTTTTCACAAAAGTGTTTTTATAAAAGTATTTTCATAAAAATACTTTTATAAAATCAACTAGGGATAATATTATAAGTGATACTTTAAAATTCAACTAGGAATAATTTTGGAAGAAAAAAATTGAATAAGTGCTTATTGTATAAGCACTTGAAAAAAACTAGAAATTTTGGTTTAAAAAATAATCCCATATTTTTAAAATAAACACTTATTTCGGGCTTATTTTCCAAATACCAATAAGTGTTTAATGGCCCAAATAAACACTTATTTTGAATAAGTACTTATTTTTAAGCACTCCCAAACATGGTCTCAGTTAGAGACTAACTTATGTGCGAACATTCTAGGGTTCAAAACATGTATCTACATATATTACATGTTTCATGAATGAAATGCAATTTGTTCTTTTCCCACTCCACTCTATCATGGTATCAGAGCCACAAGCTTTGAAAATCCAAGTTTCTTTCAAGACCTTTTGAAGCTCGTCAATGCTAGCAATCTCAGGGCAAGAAAATGACTTGAAGTCGCTATATTCCCTTCATCCTCCTGACAACTCAGGCGCCATTCTTGTTTCAGCATTGTTAACTGGTGAACACTATTCGACTTGGAGGCGTGCTATTCGAAATGCTCTTCAGGCAAAAAATAAATTTGCCTTTGTCGACGGATCACTTCCTCGTCTAGATCTGGCTTCTAGCGACCTGCAATCATGGGTAATGTGCAACTCGATGGTGATCTCATGGTTGTTCAATTCTTTGGCTCAAGATCTCCATGAGAGTGCAGCTTGCACTGATACTACATATGAAATCTTGAAGGATATTAAGGATCATTTCTCTCAAGGAAACATCCCAATAATACACCAAATGAAGCTTGGCATCACCATTCAGAATCAAGGCTCACTAACTATTCCAACCCATTTTACAAAATTGAAAGGGCTCTGGGACGAGCTCTCTATTCTATCTTCCGTCCTTGTTTGCAGTTGTGGTGCGGCCAAGGAATTCATGGCTGAACGAGAACGTGAGGAGCTACATCAGTTCCTCATGGGACTGAATGACAACTTTAAAACAACCAGATCCAACATACTGAGCACTGAGCCTCTACCTAATATTAATTGAGCATATGCCTTGATCATTCAAGAGGAATGCCATCACCCATCAGTCACTCGTTTTAGCACAGGAACTCCAAAATCTTGATGTCGTTGTAGTGTTCGTAAAGACCAAGGCCACCTCTGACCCAAATTCACAAACAAGATATCATTGTGACCACTGCAAGAACGGCCACACCAAGGACCAATGCTTCAAATTGGTTGGATACTTGACCAATTGGGACAAAGATGCTACTTTGACTCCAAACATCTGAGAACTCTCCAATTCCTAGACTCACGTAACAATTAATGTTCCTCCTAAATGGTAAAGAACCAACTGTCGACATAACCAATCTTGCTGGTACTATTGCTGCTTCTCTTGTTTCTAATTCTTATACATCTTGGATCCTTGATAGTGGGGCATCAAATCATATGACCCCCATTCTTTACTCGTTTACTTCATTCACAAAATTACATGATCATAAGACTGTTTGATTACCCAATTGATGCTTAATCTTTGTTACGCATCATGGATCTGTGAAAATCACACTAGATATCATTGTAGATCATGTTCTTTGTGTTCCAAATTTCTAGTGCGACCTATTATCAATTAGTAAACTTACTTCACTGTTGCAATGTTCTATTTCCTTCTTTCCTGAATGTTAAATCTTACAGGGCCTTGTCTTGAAGAAATAGATTGGGCAGGGTAGAATGGAGCATGGTGTATACATCCTCAATACAACTCCCACATCCATCATCCACGCCTCTGTTGTTCCTCTTCCTTCATCTAATTACATGCTATGGCACCAACGTCTAGGACATACCTCTGCCCAACGCATTTCTTCTATCTTCGGTAGTACTCCTTCAAAACATGATCGTTGCTGTGAAGTTTGCCACAAAGCTAAGCTCACCCGCTTGCCTTTCCCAGTTAGTCATTCCCGGTCTATTGCTTCTTTTGAGCTTTTGCATTGCGACATTTGGGGTGGTCATCATAGGCCTTATCATATGGGAGCTCATTTTTTTCTAACAATCATAGACGATTAAGAAGATGTACTTGGGTATTTTTGATGCATCATAAATCAGAGTCATATAATTGTCTTACTACCTTTTGTGAAATGATCAAGACATAGTTCAACTTGTCAGTTAAATGCATTTGTTCTAACAATAGCTTAGAGTTTATCTCTGGGCCAATGTAGCAGTTCTATTTGAGTCATGGTATTGTTCATGAAAGATCATGTGTTGACACTTAACAACAAAATGGAATTTTTGAGTGTAAATATATACATTTGTTGGAGGTTGCTTGTGCCCTTCAATTTCAAGCTACTCTTTCTGTTACACTTTGGGGTGAGTACATGTTAACTGCAACTTATCTTATCAATTACATGCCTACATCAGTTTTAGCAAGCAAAGTGCCTATTGAGGTATTATTGCAACAGAAACCTACCTCCTATTCGCATCTCAAAATATTTGGTTGTCTATGCTTTGCCCAAGACACCTCACCCTCTCGAGACAAATTCATGTCACAAGCATGCAAATGCATATTTGTGAGTTATTCATATGCACAAAAAAGGTTACAGGGTGTATGACTTGGAGTCCAAATCAATTTTCACCTCCTAGGACGTTATATTTTATGAGTCCCATTTTCCTTTCCAATTTCAATCCCATCAACCCCAGTTAGAACCCATAATACCGTTACCTCAGCTAGATGATGACCATGAACCCACCACTTGTGAATCTTGGCCCCCAAACCACAACACCTCAACTCACCATCATACTACAAGACCTACCCGCATCCTCAAACCTTTTGTTCATCTCGATACCTATATTTGTGATCTTCCCTATTCACTCATGCCATCTAGAGTTCAAACAACAAACCGTGGCAATAGCGCACCCTTTGAACCAAAGAATTTTGTGGAAGCATCATGTGATCCTCACTAGCTACAAGCTATGACAGAAGAAATTGAGGCATTGGAACAGAATAACACATGGTCCATTGTAGATCTTCCACCAGGCAAATTGGCCATTGACTCTAAGTGGATTTACAAAGTCAAATATCAGGCTTATGGATCCATTAAGCGATATAAAGCTAACTTAGTAGCTAAAGGCTACAATCAAATCAAGGCCTTGATTACACTGATACATATGCTCTTATGGCCAAAATAGTGACTATACAATGTCTATTAGGAGTTACATCAATCAAAGGCTAGCCGCTCTGACAGTTGGACATTAGCAATGCTTTCTTGAACGGAGACCTTCACGAAGAGGTTTACATGTGCATACCACAAAGACTTGAAAAAGGCTCTTCCAATAAAGTGTGTCGATTACACAAGTCCTTATATGGCCTTAAACAAGTCTCCCTATGTGGTTTGAAAAATTCACAATTGCACTCAAGGAGTACGGTTTCCAACAATTCATAGTCGAATATTCTTTGTCCACTTCCCATCATGACAAATCTTTCACAACAGCGTTGGTGCATGTCAATGATATGATAGTCACTAGTGACAACTCCAACCACATTGAGGAACTACTCACCTACCTTCACACTTGTTTTCGTATAAGAGATCTTGGCCCCCTCACATATTTTTCTAGGGATTGAAGTGAACTGTTCAGCATTCGGCATCTTCCTGAACCAACATAAATATGTTCTTGATCTTTTGCAAGATACTAGCATGATTCATTCTAGGCCTAGCCCCATTCCTATGGAACAAACAACGCTAGTTTCATAACAAAGAAAGTCCACTGCTATTAAATCCATCCTGGCATAAACGGTTAGTGGGTCGTTTGGTTTATCTCACAGTTACAAAACTAGAACTTAGTTTTTCAGTACATACACTTAGTTTTTATATGAACCACATGAAAAACACATGAATGCTTCCATGCACATCATGCGTTATCTACAATCTTCACTAGATCAAGGAATTTTCTTGTCGTTATCAAGTCAACTCGATCTCAAGGCACATTGTGACTCTAATTGTGCTACTTGCCCTCTCACTCGTCGCTCACTACTGGTTACATCACCATGCTCGGTGACCCATTGCTCTCTTGGAAGACAAAGACTCAAGCTACGGTCTCTCGCTCCTCCACAGAAGCTG